CGATGTCTTTCTCAACGCTCTTCGCATGGAACGAGATATCGACAGCAGGGTCAAGATCTGGGGTTTGTACCGAGACAATCTGTCACTCCTGCGTGCCAAAATGGAGAGGTCTATGTATTTCATGAAATCTAATCTGGACAAAGCTTAGGTGGCCTGGGTCCAGCAGGAGATGGGACAGGATGAACAGCCGCTTTAACGGTGATGCAGAACAACTTCAAGCCAGTAGTCCGTTGGATCTGCTGGTGCTGCGAGTTGTTTTCTTCTTCTCACTGATTTGAGGGGTCTCAGGCTCAAAAAAATGGTGTGGCATTTCGGCTGGTATCTGTCGGTAGGCGGTTTTGGCTTCACGCTCTCATGGTGGCTAGGTTCTGGATGCATGTCGGCTATGCCACAGTCCGATTTGTAGCTCGCGAAAAAGTTCCATTAAGTCAGGCGCAACACGACGCAAGTGTCCAAGATTTTGCTCAACGTTGGAACGCGACTTGGGGAAGAGGGATTGACGACTCATTGACCGGTCTCACGCCCTCTCACGATCTAACAAGGGGCGGGTGAAGGAGACTATGTTTGCTCTGGCAGCTTTGCCGGCGCGACCTCCTCCAATACTTGGAGCGACCATGACGGCCAGGAGACCAGAAGGAGAGGCATGGCCAAGGTCATGAATCATCGACCCGAAGCGTGCGAGTGATTGAGTCTGGGTTGCATGAGAGGATAGCGTGAAGCGTGCATTGAGTCTTCATTAGCAGTTGACCAAAACCAAGCAAATCGAGTGATTGGACGTCGCGGATGTGGGACTTCGTGGCCAAGGTGTCGTCTCCTGAAGCGCCAACCTTCGTTGACCAACTTTGTCGTAATTTTCGGATGTCCGCCCACCAGCACGCCTGATCTCCTTGCCTTTCAACGTGCCATTATCGAACATGGGTCCAAGTCTTTTCCATTTTCCCTACCGAGTACAGTCCCCATGCCAGGCGAGAAAATGCGTAGATGCGCCAATATTAAGATGGAGGAGAGGTGGCAGACTCTGCCACACACGGTTCATTCCTGCAACGTTTGCTCCAGCGCGCAAGTCGAATCGGCATCCCTTTTCCTTTCTGTTGACACATGTGTGTGTGCATGAACACGAGTCTAGCGGAGCATGATCAATTTCTTTTGTAATAAGAGGTCAATAACGAAGGCGGCGCGCTGCAGGATGCAGTTGACACGTCTCTTTGACTGCTCAGTGGCTCCTGGCTACTGCCTCCCTTGTCTGGCTCAAAGACCAGGATCCTCTAGCATGTAAAGTTGAGCTCTGTCCGGTATCCTTCGCTTACTAGGATTAGTGGTTCGCGAATAAGAAGCGATGGAAAGCAAGGGTGGGTGGTTGTTGATCTGTCTGAATCAGCTGTTCTACCTCTTCATCAAACCCTTGCTTGCCCGTCAAGCCAGCCAGCCAGTAGAGCCAATACATATCCTGAGCCGACCTCCCTCCAAGGGCGCCACCTACCTCAGAGCACAGCATGCCGCACTCCTGCTGTTGGCAGCCTGTCACCGCGCTTGGCCCTTTTTCGTGGCATGGAAAGGGTGGGAGAAAGACGAGAGAGGGACCGAGAGAGTAGTTTTGACGTGTGCATTGGATATGGCGCAAAGACATGGATTCCAATGAATTTGGACTGCACCTTGGGCTGTGTTGTGTGCGTGCATGTTTAGGGCGGCTAAGGTGGTTTCGAATCAATAAGGAGGGGTGGAGTTCTCGTGGTGTCTGAAAGGGTGTGGGCGCAGGCAGGCACTGTGCAGGCAGGCGGATCGCAGGCGCCGCGGCAAGCTCGATTTCCCAATTTGCCCGTCACTTGCTCTCAGTCTCTCTGCTCAGCCTTTTCAGCCTCACGGTCTCTCCGCCTTTTCTACACACGCTCCCTATGTCACAATCTATCGATCTGTAGACGCTGCGGCTGCTGGCAGATCGCCTCAGAATCTCTATCATCACACCTGCGGCCTGTCCACCCCGACTCTGGTATGTAGCAAAGATTTCACTCCAAGTACTCGCACTGCTGCCAGTCCCACTACCAGCAGGTAGGTCGAATATCTGGCCGGCTGCTCGGCCTGTAGGTCTATCACGGTGGATCTGGCCCAACCTTGGCTGGCAGGTTGGGAAGTCTTTGGCTGACCTAGTAAAGTAGAATGACACCAACCTAACACTTCCGACCAACGCACCCCTCATTTCGATCCTAACCAACAGTGTGGTTTGGTCTCGTTCGCCACATGCACTCTATTACACAGTCCACCCAGCCGTCCAAGAAAGCAGGCAGAATGATTTTCTCTTGGTGGCTGCTTAAAAGTGAGGCGGATTTTGCGGCATGCAAGTTTTAGATGCATATCTGGTTGCAGGACCGTCAACACATTCCTTTTCTGCATCCACAGGCGAAAGATACCCCTACAGACACTAACGGCGAGTTGGCTGGGCTAGACGTGGGTAGTCCACAGCCACAGCCTCACCGAGAAGTGAATAGGTGGCATCGGGGATATTATTGCCGTGGGGGCCTAGCCCTAGTGCATCTGGTGTCCAGGGGGTTGCCACACAGTTGCCTGAAGCGCGATCCGAACGCCGCCTGGCCTCTTCCCCTGCACCCTACACGGAGATGCTTAGGGGACCAATAACATTTCACTCTCAAGTCCTCTTCGCCCACAAGTTGGGCACCAAAGGTACCAGTGACAGCGAAGTAAACAGCTGACCAAGATATCGATCCACGGTCGAGTCAACAACTACCACAGGTACCATGGCCTCATTTATTCACTATGTGAGGCACTCTTCACAGTAGCACATAATGGGAACGTCATACAAGGCAAGCATCAAGTCTTTGCCCAGCGGCTCCTTTCCGCCCGAGCCTCGCTTCCTCGCAAGGCTGAGACTCTGAGCCCTTGTAACAGCAACATGACTTGTCCCTCCAGTCCGTCACCCGCGATCTTTGTCTTTGCAGCTTATTTGTGTCCCTGTTCCAGGATGACAGTGGACTTTTGAGACCAGCTTGACGGCTGCACTCAACCGGTTCATGCTCAGTCTCGACCAGGTAAAACAGCCTCGGCAGCCGATCCAGCTCGACACTGGTGAATCGGTCATGGCCTTGATCTCATGCCTCGTTCGATCAGACAGTCATCTACCAATACAGCTCTTGCGACTGGGGGCCTCATCTCAGGCAGAGAAACAGCCTGAGTGTTGCCTTGCCCAGCTGTCCGATAAATATATCGGTGCTCAACGGGGATCCATGTTTGATTGAGCCCACAGGAGCGGGATTTGTACCGAGGGCTCGACCCGATTGCTCACATGAAAAAGGATATTGTTATCCGTATTTCTCGCGGTAGCTGATAGCATCGACAATGGTCCCGTTGCTCAAGCCGTCGGTGTCGAGTATGAACTGGAGCACGGCCCATGGCCTTTGAGCCGGACTCTTGACGTGACAGCACCATTATCATTTTTCTTTGGCCTAATGGATGTCTGTATAACCAGGGACTCAGCAGGTCTGAACCAAAGGACGCTCGTCCGAGACATACATGTCCCTGAGGTCGACGTGGGCCTCCAGAGAAACGCCACCGCGTCAACAACTGCTCGCGATGATGTTCCTGTCATCTTTGACAACTCCAACCTCTGCTAACAGGCATTGGCACGGATCCCTGCAGATGCCTGATTGTGTTGAGACGACATACTCCTGCGTCCCTGCACGGAGTAAGGGGTGCTTTAAATGTCGATCTGCTGAGATTGGGGGTGTTTATCGGCCAAAACACCCTTTTCCAGCAAGGTGGAATGTCAGATTCAAGACATTTTGATGCTTCAGACTATACCAAGATCGCGGTTGCTCTCAGTTCCTGCCCACGGAATGCGATGTATGAGCCACGACTCAATGAACCGAATCTAACGGTGATCAGAAACCCCGTCCGGACGAGACGCTGTCCACTGCTGCGGTCTCAGCCCATGTTTCCCATCATTGAAGGCGGCGTTTAAGGGCAAGAACCCAAGCATCGAAAACGCGGACAAGCTATCCAGGTAGCGATTTGCTGTTTAGTCCGGGCCGTCAGCCAAGGAGGCTTCCTCGTCAAAGGAAAGTCTACAAGGATGGACGGGAATTCATCATCCAGCTCCCGGAAGATTGAGAAGAGGCATTTCCAAAACAAGAGGCCCATGCTAGTCTTCTATTTAATCACTTGAATAATCACGGCCATAGCACTTGTTTGAGTTGCAAGTGCGTAAAACAAATCTTTAGGCGAGGTCCTTCCTCTCCCAAGATGGACGTCAGCTTGGGGTATACGAGCATCTCCTTCAGCAGGCCCGCGGGAGTGCGAATGAGGATGACACCATGCTGGCACCAGCCTTGATAGATGCACCAAGTGCCACTGACAGACAGACCCCCATGCTGGAGAACAAGTCGATGCTAGAACCACCTCTTGTCGTTCAGAGGCTCGCATATGCCGGCCTGGCCAAATTTAGGAGGGGCGAGGACAGATTCTGTGCACCCACTAGCCCATCCAAGAGAGCGCTTTTATGCAGCACGCGGGCATCGCAAAAAGTCGATTCTGAGAAGTTCTACCTCGATCGTTCCACGTCCAACTTTATTTGATTGCGCTCAACTCGATCCAGCAAATGCCGGACGTACGGAAGTGGATGTCTCTTGCACGGATCTTGCAGTGAATCGACTTTTACTCAGGGCGTCTGGACTCCAGAATCCAAGATCCAAATCACCGGCTCCGGCATAGAGTACGAGATCCAAGACCAGACGAGGCCAAGTTCCTCGGTTCGCATCAATTTGGAGATGCTCAGGATCCGGAAAATTATTGTTCCATGTCTTCCTTCATACAGCAAACCCGCATCTCTTTGCCTTCTTCTATCTACCGTGAAATCATGACACTGGAAGAAGATACTCCTCAGAACTGCTAAGGAAGGCCTCTGTTCACAAGGTAAAATACCAAACCAAAAGTTGATCTATCTGCGTGCACTACAGAAAACTCCGCGGAGAGAGAAACGAACACCAGCCAGAATGGCGTCACCAAGCCCATCGTGGCCGATCAAGAAGGTCGAGCTGGCACCACCCTCCCTATCAGCGCTCGCACAAGGCATCGTCTCTGGTCTCTGCTCCAACTTTTCCATCTCGGACTGTTCAGTGGCAATCCCTCCAGACCTGACAGCGGCGCCGTACCATCTGGCGGGATCGGGACTCAGTGGCTCGCCTCGCATCGTCGATGTGGGGGGCCCCCCGAACCTCTCTCCAACACCCAACATGACCAAGAAGTACGACCTGACGGCCATCGCAGGGCAGGTCGACATGTCCCCGGCCACGGGCTTCATGCTCGGCGCGGGCGCTGGTCCCTTCTACGTGCTGGGCCAAAACTCGGAGCTCATGCCCAACTTTGCCTACGGAACCGCAGCGGGCGGGGGCGAGGATGTGGTCCGCAACCGCACGCACTATGCAAAGATCACCCCGTCGGACACGGTGTGCTGTGCCCAGATTCCCCAGGCCAGCACGGGCTTCGCGTTCATGTGCAACCTGTTCTGCTCTGACGGCGTCCCCGGTCCGTGCCTGCACGTCACGGCGAGGTCTCGCACAGGCCCGCTCAACTTCACCGAGAGCATCCAGCACGGACTGCAGGCCACGTTTGGGGACAAGCTGATCTCGCTGGGCGGGGTGTTTCTGATCAAGAAGGGCAAGGCCAGGCTGCACGTCATGCCGGACTTTCCGACCCAGCCGTTCAACTCGAGGGCCGATGTCGAGCGCTGGCTGCGGTATTTTGACATGTCCTTTGGCGCCGGGGGTGGAGCGGATACAGGAGCCAAGGACAAACACGCGGAAGGAGGCGGTAGTGGTGGTGGCGATGATGGCGATGGTGACGGGCCACTAGTATGTCTGAGCGTGCTGCACTCGGGCGACGATGCTGGACTGGGCTTGAGGATGGAACACACGCACTGCTTCACCGTTCCTTCTTCCCCTTCGTCCGCCGACGCCGATGCGAACCTCAACAAAGACCGAGAGACCACCAAGGGCGGCCACTACCACTACGACCTGGACGAGACCATGGACGAGATCGAGTACGAAGGCTGGTTCAACGTCGCCGAGACCCTGTATCGCGTCGACCAGCCTGGTATTTCCGCCGCTTGATGTTTTTCTGTTTGGTAGTCTACCTACCGACATCGGTTATGTAGCTTTTGTTTTGGCTTTTGGTAATGGATTCAGTTGTTCTTTTCGCTTCGGTGATGGGTTTTTGTTAGTGCGAGGGCTTTTCGACGTTGTTTGTGTCTGTCTTTCTTTGCTGGTCTTCTCTTCTCTTCTCTTCTCTCTTCTCGCCTGCAAGCTTCTTTACTGCCCAGTCCCTAGCTCATAGCAGGGTCACCTGTGTTATGGACAAGTATCTTTGGAGATGTAGAGGGGGCGAATCAGTCGGCTTACAGCCTCGTGCAGCTTCGTACGTATTCTTCGCAGTTGTAGGCAGATACCTAGTTAGTACATGGTGTAAAGTTCCTAGTATGCTCGAACAGTGACAAGCTCATGTATAGACATATATCCCCTTCCCCCATTCCACCGTCTTCAGGGGTGCCTCTTCGTCCATACGACCCTGAGCCCTATCCAAGGCCCGCTGTGATCTTGACAACATATTCGGCCTCCCGCGAATGTACTTCTTGTACGGAGCCGGGCCTGGGTAGATAAGCCTGACAGTCAAATACTGTAGGCACCTAGCCACTGAGCTCGCTTTGCTTGGGGGAATTCTCTACTCGGTCCTCGTGGGTACATACCAAACATATGCGGCATACGTGGGTACCTAGGATGAAAAGTGCGCATGGGATGGGGTTGAATCACCTGGAGTATATGATGATACCTTTGCCCTGTCAGCCTCGAATGCACCAGCCGAGCTCAGAGTGCTCTGGCTAGCCGGCTGGGGGTGAAACAGGTACAGCCTTCCGACGCACCACCATCCCCAACTCGACCTGGTTCTTCCTTACCTACGACAGAGATATCAATCTGAGAGACGCGAGATATAGAGAGCTCAGCGAAGACAAGGCAAAACCAGTCCAGGCTTGAGACATGGTAGATCAGTTCAAAATGATTTCACGGGTGGATCGAGGGTTCACCCAAACGGATCGTCAGACGGGAGGTGGGACATGCTCTGGCTCTCGGAGAACAGCCTCACTCATAGAGCTCAAGTCACCATTCCCAGCAGCTTTGGATTACGCGACCCAAAGGCAGAGACGTGACATCAAGAAACCGATTGTCCGCATATAGCTGGTCAACCTGCTGATATCGGTCATTTGACGCCTCAAAACTCGTAGTATGGTGGTCTTCCAGCCACAAACCTCGTAGGTTGCACAGCCAAACAAAAAGATGTCCGCGTGTCGAGTCACCCTGGGCATTGATGGCCGATAGCTAAACCATTCATAGCAGGAGTCTGCAGGCTCACCATCGATGCTGCAACCTTCGAATTCGACGATCTTCGAGCATCCCTCCCCTATGAGAATCATACTGTTACATCCGACGTCGTCGCCGTGAATGATATTACAGTTGTGTGCGTGCAGATGACCTTCTGCAGCCTGCCTCATCCAGCTCAACTTCGTTCTGGATCGGAATCTCGTTCGCGGAGGATGATCGACCGACGGATCGGAGGACTTGGCCTCGTTCGAGGACGATGGACCCGTCTTTCCTGGTACCTAGCAGCTTTGCAATGTTGGGGTGTGAGCCGAGCCGGTGATATGCTCCTCGTTCGACTTCACCTCTGTCGCTCTCTTGGAATTCTTTCAGGACTCTCTTGTCGTCCACCCCGTACACGAGATTCCTGATTTCCCTGCGCCGAGGAACTGTAACGACTCAAAGGATATCGACTCAGTGTCTCCGTGTCTTGGGCGACAAAGGGTTCCAAGGCATTTGGTGTACAACGCCCTTAGAATGGAGAGGACTGAAAGGAAGGATCTCGTAGCATGGAGGATGGGGACAGAGTCGAATCGCATCTTCCTGGAAGCGCAGGGTGGGAAAAGCGACGTGCCGGGACAATGGTCGGTGCAGGGTTGTCATTGAAATTGTGAGGGTACCATTGTACCTCGGGCGTTGACAGCCTCTTGTTGTCGCTCCATATGGGTTCGTCTTTGGAGCTGTGCTTGACCGATGAGCGGGTTGGTAGTCATGACTGAAAGCGTCCAAAGACCGCGAAGCGAGCGGCGCCGAGACGGAGACTTTACACACCAACTCACGTGACGACGCGTGTAGCCGCTCACGTAATTTGAAGGAGTAGGTCACGTGAGGAGGCACCAGCCGTGACGACATAGCATATATTTATACCTCTATAGATTTTGGTCAAACTTGTATTCTCCCGCCGGCTTATGAGTGAACCCCGCACTTGTGAAATCAGGTGCATTACTGCACCATTAGACGTTTCCTCGTCAATCACGACCCAAGTGATGCCGCAGCAACGAGTACGATTGTATGGTCTCGATGTCCGCACCGATAGTCAATTTGACGCAGGTAGGTAGTGAGCATCTACGCAAAAGATGCTGTCGCGAGTTACAGGCCGCGTGAGGAGGTCTCAATAAGGCCTTTTCTGCGTGGCACCAGGCCCGAAGCCCCTAAAGTCTCAAAGCTCCGATTGTGTCGGAATCAATTTGCGAAGCGCGTCCGACGACTGAACTGTTTCCCCATTGTTAACCCAGTCTCCACTGTCCGAAGGCCTCTGCATACACCCTTTGGATCAAAGTCACACATAAAGACCCCAGTTATACCTTCATCATGTTCGAAAAGCTGCACGAGAGGACCGGCACTCAGAAAACCTCTCTCTCAGCGGTATTCCTTTTTCTTCGAGCGCCAACAATGGTTACTCTTTTCCACCTCGGAGTATGCTATGCTACAATCCTGATAGACAATGAACGACCCTCGCTGACGGACGCGAATAGCTCAAGGCATCGGACGAGGCGGAACATACATACATACATATATAGGTGGTGGGCAGCATCACATTTCGGACCAGAATGGCGGGTCCCCCGGCTCCGAATCCTCGTCTACTCGGTACTACTTGTTTCGAGTAGGGTCGTTTTTGGTAGCCAGTCTATGGGAAGCCCCGCGTTTCTCCCCGGGCTCTGTCCGGAAAAGCAAGGGGCGCGTAGGCGTTAGAGGGTTGAGGCGAGGCAGCAGGTTGGTTGGTTTGTTCGTTTTATGCCCAGAGTAACCTCATACCTCCCATGTCTGTACTCGGTTACCTCGACCATTGCCGGTGGAATATCTAACTTAATTAATTCCGAGAGTTAATTCCGAATGCGTCTCTTTGATATGTTATAAGTTACTGGGTATTGAAGGTGAAACCCCAGTTGAGATGGGGAAGTTACATATAACCGCGTACTCGGCACACACGATAATACCCAACTGCGAGGTCCACAAAGTGACCAGGCCAAACTGTGTTTCGGCCGAAGAGGCGGAATAGCTCGCCAATCATAAATGAGGACGAAGGTGGCCATGCTTGCCATGCTCAGTACAGGTGTAGGCGTTGAACAACAGAGGCAGCTGTCAGAGGGTCCCTGATGATGTCTATCACCACCTGTGCCGTCCAACATCACGTCACGCGACGCTCCTCCAAGTCGAGGTATAGCACCTGGTTCCCTCCATCCCTCTCTCTCTACTTCGTCCTCACCGTGTTAGTTTCCTCCTGTCCCTCCATTTCCACTTCGACGGCGATTCTCCCTTTGGCCATGGCGACCTCGTCAATAGCGGCCGCCGCCACGTTTCCTTCCGGACGAGGCCCCTCGAAGATCTCGGCGATCTCTTCCAGTGTCCGCTTGTTCGTTTCGGGGAAGAAGAAGTACTCGATGACCAGCAGGACGACCAGGAGAACGCAGAAGACGATGTAGTATTTCCACCCAATGTTGGTGAGTCCGCGCGGGTTGACAAACTGCGCCACGATCAAGGCGATCTGGTTTGTTGCCATGGAAGCCCCGAGGCCGCGCGCCCGCAGCGTGTACGGAAAGATCTCGATCGGGTATGAGATCAGGAGCGGAATGAAGGAGAAGTCGTAGCAGAAGTAGTACAGGAAGATGAAGGCGACCACCGCCCGGCCGACCGAGACGCTTTCGGTTTGCTGGAACCGGGCGGAGAGAGCTGTCCAGACGACATAGCACACCAGCATGCCCACTGTGGCGCCCAGCCACAACTTGCGCCGCCCGACGCGATCGACGAGTGTCGAGGCGGTAATGCCGGCGAAGAAGTTGAAAAGCTGCAGTAGGGCGTTGATCAGGGTTTGAGAGCTCGCCGACGTGATGCCGATAGTGTCGAGGACAAGGGTCAGGTAATAGGCAATGACGGCGACGCCGCTCCAGGTGGCATACCAACCAACCATTACCGCGATAAAAGTTCGTTTGCGGTTCGCTGGGGTTCGAATGAGGTCGACATACGAGGTCTCGGAATTGATCAGTCTCTCGGCGCGGATGCTTTCCTCGATCTCCTTGAGTTCAAAGGTGACTAGAGCCGATGACTCGTCGCCTCCGGCATGGTGTTTGACCAGAGTTCTCCGCGCCTCTGCTGTTCGGCCCTTGGCCGCTAGCCATCTACAGACCACCAGTTAGCTGTATACCAGAATCCGCCGACAGATATTGGCTTGTATACCTGGGAGACTCGGGGACGAAGAGAACAAGACAAAGCTGCAGCAAAGGGACGGCCCCCTGAAGGATGGACGGAATCCTCCACGACCAGTTGGAATTGATGCGAAACGTTCCATAAGTGGACCAAGCTGCGATGACTGCTCCGAGGTGCTAGTGTTGGACCGTCAGCCAGGGTACTTGGCCCAGGATCGGACGGGCATGGCTGGCGTAGAAGGAAAAAGTCCTCGCACTTACATATGTATTATAATAGAGCGCTGTGAACTTGCCACGGTGGGTGGGATACGACAGTTCCGAGACCAGAATCGGTGCTGCTTGAGCAACAAACGCTGTTCCAAACCCGAGAACAAGACGGCCGACGATGAACATGGCCACATGCTGCGCCGCGCCCTGGATACCCGCCCCGATCACCAACAAGATGAGGCCGGCAATGATCGGGGGTTTCCGCCCATAGCGGTCGTTGGCCCAAGCCGTGAGGAACAACCCGAAGAACTTGCCGATGGGGTAGATGGCGTTCATGACACCCAGGATCGA